AGAAGAAAATCTCAAGAACACTAACTAGAATAAAGATGTGCATTGTACTAAAGTACAAAGTAGCATCTCATTTCTTCCAGTAATCCAATTAGTCTTCTTCACAGAATCTTTTTGTAGTTGCCTTCACCCCTCCATAGGCTGTGAGAAGAGAGAATGTAACCAATTTACATGTCTTCAGACTAAGGTGGTAAACAAAAGAAATACAGAGTATGGGGAACTCGCTGTAGGCACTTGGAAATGTTTGAGAGGAACAGGAATGAAAAGGGGAGAAGGGACATGAGGTTTTAGTGTGGATAGTAAAGCAGGTTTGGTGATAGTTCTGCTCACCAGAAGGATTTTTTGTGTGTGTGGATACATAGTTGTTGCTGCTTTGCATGGATTATCTCTTTGCAGTGTAAGGGAAGGAATGAGAAGTGGCATAGAATGATCTCTGAACGATTGGTATTCAGCTCTCAGGACTTAGGAATGAGGACTTCTAGTTCAGTAAATCAGAGGACTTGCAATGTCAGGGACATGTGTAACAGGGTGTTATGCAAGTGGGCTGTCAGTAAAAGAAGAAGGATTAAGGAATTAGCTGATGCACAGTTCAGGAGTCTAGGAGTTTTGCAGTGTGAAATGGTGGGTTAGAGCAACTTGAATTGTTTTCTCAAGACATAAGGATTGTGATCCATCAAGTACCAACCATCTTCCTCTAAGTGCTCAATTTCATCATATCTTTGCTAACTTCAGTGTGAACGGAAAGCAGTAAACTGCTCTCAGGTTTGAGCCATTTAGCAGCACCACAGCTTCTTGGACTGTTGTGCTTCTGTCAAGGATTTTTAAAGACAGCAATGTTAGTGAAACACTGCAGTGAAATTACTTTGTATTGTTCAATCCCTTTTCCAGGAGAAGTATTAAATTTGGAGCCTGATTTTGATATTATTTAGAATAACGCAGAAAGGATTATGGTGATGCCAGTGGAAGTAATTAATTTGCTTTGTGAATAAGCAATTGTTATGATTACAATTATTTTTCTAAAATCTGTTTAGCGTGAGATGAAGGCTGAGTTCCTTCTAGCCCTACACCCCACCTCACAGCATTTGAAAAAAAAACAAAACAAAACAAAACAAAAAAAAGCATTTCACTTATGCATTTCAAACTTGTTATTACTGTTTTGGCTACTTTGTCTCGTTTTTGCAACATAAATTTCAATATAGCCAGGATCATACATGAACCTATTGAAACCTAACCTTCCCGCATACTCAGAGCACTTAATTTGGATGCTGTTGGGATTATTCATTTCTGTATCCAAATCACATTCTGAACTTTTTATATATTAAAAGAAAGCAAGAATACTTCCTGATTTACCTGCTAGACAAGGGAGTACAGTATTAATGTACTCATGGTGGTACAGATAACTAAATCAAATAGATCTTAGCTTTTCAATTTCGGTTTGAATAATAGAAGTTGGGACTATGAACATGATTGTTTGTTACTAGTATTTTATGCAACACAATCAGTTTTTGCCATAAAGAATTGATATTCCGGTATGCAAACCATGGAAATTCAAGTTAATACAGGAAACAGATGGAAAATAATGAATCATTATCAAGATTGACATGACTTAAGTAAAAATTCTGTTTCGCTTTTTAAAATAATTATCTCAATTTTCAAATTATATTTTTCAAGAAATTGTGACAAATACCAGTTCATAACTTCATAACTTTGTGTTTGGATGCTTCAACATAATGCAAATGCTGACACTTATTTCAGCAAGAGCAGGATCTTACTTACTGTTTTCAGCTAAATGCGTAATTTTGCTTTTCTATTCTGTTAAAAATGAATTTTAATTGTAATATATTTTATCATGTCTTAGTATAAAATAGATATGTTGTCCATACTGTTTAATTTTTAGATACCTGTAAATTTTTAAAAGTTGTAGTGTATGTTAATTGGTGTAACATCCACTCTCATAATGTTTATATTTGAAAGCATATTAGCAGTGTATTCTTACAGTAAAGAAGTTCAAAAGTGTTGCTAGCTAAAATAAACACAGTCTGATGTTTCTAGAATAGTAATTTAGAGTTTCTATTTCTCAGAAGCAGAAAAAAAATATTATTGTATACATCCAGTGAAGGCAAGATTTATTTTCCAAACTGCAACATAGTCTGAATAGCAAAAAATTTCAAGAAGGCTGTGGGTGGGTATATGGAAGGATATCAGTCTGCATCTTCTTTAAAAGTAGGCAGATAATTCTGTTGGTCAATCAAAGCTTTTAGCGATTAACTAAATGAAGTTTTTTGATGTCAAGCCATAAAGTAGTAATTCCTTATTGAGTAAACCTTTATTATTATTCTTTTGCACAAAGAGTTTTTCCTTCATTTTATATCTGAATTAAACAGTCGTAATGTTGGGCTACACCAGTCTTTTAGAGTAATCCCAGCCATATTATGGTGATCTAGATTTTCATATATATAACATATGTAGCTATGGTATTGTGCGTCCTACAACGCTGTCCTAAAGTTAAGTACTCAGTTTACTTCTGTAATTGTATATCTGGTTATGAGACTATCTGTTTCCAGAGCGTTGCACTGATGGTGTCGTGAAATCTAGTCAGACCAGTTCCAGCATCAGATTTCAGATTTCTGCTGAGATTGAGATTGAAACAGCAGTTGCAGACTTTTTTGAAATGGAAATTAATGGCATATAGTCCTTAGGAAATAGTTGGTTTCTTTGTTTTTGTTTTGTTATTTGCTTTGTTTTGTTTTTAATTTCTTTGTTATTGCTTGGAAGGTGTTTCGGATCTTTAAGGATATTTTTATACAACTTGAAGTTGAAATTCAATATAAAGTTTGGTTTTTTTTTTACTAACTTTAATATCAGGAACATAATACATCTGCGGTGGTTCAGTCTAGTTTTTCACAAAAATTTAAAAGTATGACTTTGCTTAAAGTGCAAAAATGATTATTAGAGTACTCATTACATAGATATCATAAAAGTAAAAATAAATAAATAAATAAAAAAGTAAACAACACCTTCAGAACTCTGACAAATAAGGCATTAACTTGAACTCTCTCAAACCTCTCAACTGGATTCACATTCCCAGCTTCAGAAATCAAAGATTCATGAAAGTTTTCAGGTAGTTTTTTCTGATTTTGTTACGAATATGGATTTTGTTCTTTCTTTTTTTCTGAATCCATTATTTGTTTTCATACCTTCTTATGTTTTTACATTCTTCTTCAGCACATACGTAAGCACTTAAGCCTAACTTTAATCACAACTTTGCATGTGACTTACGAAACCAAGCAGGATCTGGCAAGTTACAGTGGTCAGAATCTCCGAATTGTTAATATGTCCTAAGTCAAATGAGTCAGTTAAACTATATACTTGATAAAAATATCAACCTTCATTATATTTTTCCATTTCTTAATTTTGTCTCTAGATCATACATCCTGGTTATAAAAATTGTGGCTTTGTTTTGCTAACAGGAAAGTTGAAAGAAAGGGCATCTCAAAATCACCTAATATGTTGAGCTGCACTTTAAAATGACCATGGCCTTTCCTTACTTAAAAATGCATATTCACAAACTCTGAGATGTTTTCTGTAGGATTATGTAGCTCATGGATGGCCTAATTTTTTTGCAAATGCAAAATGGTATGTTTAATTTTTTAAGGTACTTACTATGTAAGTGGAACATACAAATGTTTTTTAGCTTCAGAGTATACTGGACTTTCAAAGACTTGATTTTGATACTGTCATAACAACTGGAAATATCTAAAATGGATAAGATTAGAAAAAATTCTAGGGCATGCATTTTTATTTCTGATTAGCTTGATTTCATAACAAGCTTGAATTTGTAATGAAGTAACACGAGAATGTTGCTAATGCATTTTTGGTTGTATTTTTAATTGGCTTGTTGCTGAGATTTTAGATGGCATTTTGGTGATAAGACTGACAAATTTGTAAGTGTTATTCATACATACAGACTCCACAAAACCTGGATGAATGGCTATCAGTAGTTATCAATCCTGAAAACATACTTTTGTAAAGGTAAAACTTCGTATTAATTCACTATTATGGATCAGATGGTACCTTAAACATTAAAATTGTAAGACTAATTTGTGAATACATATTGAAAAAAAAACAGCTAAGTATAATATGCATAAGCACTGAATTTTTATCATGGTTGTCATTCTTCACTCACAGCAATAAATCAGTGAGGAATAAATTTGTTTACATTAATTAAACTTGTTTAAATAGGAGGAAGGTTAGGATTAACAGGAGATCCCCTTTGTTTGAAGATATTTGGGTAAACTTTTTAAGAGGGACAAGCACCATATTTTTTATTTTCGAAGTCTTCATTTAGATACACTCTCCTACTGTTCTTCATCTTCACATGCTGGGTAACAGTAAGGTGTACAACATCCTGAACTTTTATATTCTGATATGGGTAATGGGTTCAACAATCAAGGTCATGCCAATTCAAGATGAACCATTTTATCTGTCCACAGTATGCTATACTTGCTTTCACAGAGTGTTTGGTTTTTTGTTTTTGTTTTTTTTAATTATTACTACATTATTATAGATCTTTTAAGGGAAGGTAATTAATGTGAAACACATTTTGTCTTATAATTTGGTTTGCAACATTAGCCTGGAAAGAGAGGAATCAGATGAGAACACTCACGTTGACACAATCTATGATAATCTTTTCATGTGAGAATAATACCTGCATTTGTTTAATCTTTTATCTGAAATGTACTGTGCTGAAAGCGGTATATTATATAGAGCAGTTAATAGTTTTCCTGTTATTCTTTTAATTCTTCTTATTGTACATTTGAAAGAGATGCAGAGCATTAAAAAACCTGATAAGCTGTATTTCATTTTATTTTTTTAATCTTTTCTTTTAAAAGCATATTAACTAATTTGCTTCATTTTTTCCTTCCTTTTATAGGGTAGCAAAATATTATAGTGTTCATGCGCAAAGCAGAAGTATTATTTATATATATTTTTTTTAATTACAGGTAAAGATTATAGTTCCCAACAGCACAGCAGGTCTGATAATAGGGAAGGGAGGTGCTACAGTGAAGGCTATAATGGAGCAGTCAGGGGCTTGGGTGCAGCTTTCCCAGAAACCTGATGGGATCAACTTGCAAGAGAGGGTTGTCACTGTGAGTGGAGAACCTGAACAAAACCGAAAAGCTGTCGAACTTATCATCCAGAAGATACAAGAGGATCCACAGAGTGGCAGCTGTCTCAATATCAGTTATGCCAATGTCACAGGTCCAGTGGCCAATTCCAATCCAACCGGATCTCCTTATGCAAACACTGCTGAAGTGTTACCAACTGCTGCAGCTGCTGCAGGGCTATTAGGACATGCTAACCTTGCTGGAGTGGCAGCCTTTCCAGCAGTTTTATCTGGCTTTACAGGCAATGACCTGGTGGCCATCACCTCTGCACTTAATACGTTAGCCAGCTATGGATATAATCTCAATACATTAGGTTTAGGCCTAAGTCAGGCAGCAGCTACAGGGGCTTTGGCTGCAGCAGCTGCCAGTGCCAACCCAGCAGCAGCAGCAGCCAACTTGTTGGCC